CAATCCCACTCCTGGGCATATATCTGGAGAAACCCATAATTTGAAAAGATACGTGCACCTCTGTGTTCACAGCAACATTATTTACAATGGCCAAGACATGGAAGCAACCTAAATGTCCATTGACAGATGAATGGATAAAGAAGATGTGGTACATATATTCAACAGAATACTACTCAGCCATCAAAAAGAATGAAATAAAGACATTTGCAGGAACACGGATGGACCTAGAGATTATCATAGTAAGTTAGATAAGCCAGACAAAGACAAATATCAAATATCGCTTATATGTGGAATTAAAAAAAAATTGATACAAGGGACTTCCCTAGTGGCACAGTGGTTAAGAATCCACCTGCCAATGTAGGGGACACGGGTTCGAGCCCTGGTCCGGGAAGATCCCACATGCCACAGAGCAACGAAGCCTGTGCACCACAACTACTGAGCCTGCATGCCACAACTGCTGAAGCCCGAGCACCTAGAGCCAGTGCTCCGCAACAAGAGAAGCCACTGCAATGAGAAGCCTGCACACCGCAATGATAAGTAGCCCTCACTCGCCGCAACTAGAGAAAGTCGGCGCGCAGCAACGAAGACCCAATACAGTCAAAAATAAATAAAAATAAAATAAATAATTTTAAAATTGATACAAATGAACTTACTACAAAACAGAAACGGATCCACAGACATAGAAAACAAATTTACGATCACCAAAGGGGAAAGTGGGGAAGAGGGATAAATTAGGAGTTTGGGATTAACAGATAACACACTATTGTATATAAAATAGATAATCAACAAGGACCTACAGTATAGCACAGGGAACTAGACTCAATATTTTGTAATAACCTATAAGGGAAAAGAATCCGATAAAGAATATATGTGTGTGTGTGTGTATATATATATATATATATATTAACACAGCCTCCTGTCCATATGACATAGATCCAGAAATGTTATAGTGCTCTGTTTTTAATTATAGAAACAGTTTCTACATAAAATTGATCATCCACGTTCAAGCAGAGCAGGTAAAGTTTAGCCAGAACATCTTATTGCTGTTTTGCTATTACTATTGTAAAAAGAAAATCTGTCCTAAGTTGCTTTCTATCACTCTTAGTAAAGCATAATAATCATTCTATTTTAACAAACTCCTTAAAATTTTTTTCTCTTTTCTTTTTTTCCCAGTTTTATTGAGATACAATTGACAGATAGCACTGTATAAGTTTAAGATGTACAGCATAGTGGTTTGACCTACACATACTGTGAAATGATTACCACAGTGAGTTTAATTAACATCTAGCTTCTCATATAGATACAAAAAGCACAAAAGAACCTGTAATGGAAAAGAATCTGAAAAAGAATACACACACACACACATATCCATAACTGAATCACTCTATTGTACACCTAAAACTAACACAGCATTGTAAATCAACTATAAAAACAAATATCGTATATTAACACATATGTGTGGAATCTAGAAAAATGGTACAGATGAACATATTTGTAGGGCCGGAATAGAGATGTAGACATAGAGAACAGACATGTGGACACAGGGGCGAAGGGGAGGGTGGGACGAATTGGGAGATTAGGTTTGACATAAATACATTACCATAAGTAAAATAGATAGAAGTGGGAACTTGCTATATAGCGCAGGGAGCTCAGCTCACAGGGAGCTCAGCTCGGTGCTCTGTGGTGACCTAGATGGGTGGGATGGGGGGTGGGAGGGAGGTCCAAGAGGGAGGGGATATATGTATACACATAGCAGATTCACTTCATTGTACAGCAGAAACTAACACAACATTGTAAAGCAATTATACTCCAATAAAAAATTTTTTTAATTAAAAAAAATTTTTTTAGATTCCATATGTATAGCTGATTCACTTTGTTATAAAGCAGAAACTAACACACCATTGTAAAGCAATTATACTCCAATAAAAATGTTAAAAAATTTTTTAATTAAAAAAAATTTAAAAGAAAGAAGAATGTGATGAGAATGCTCTGGATCTATACTCTCTTAACAACTCTGTATTACAGCAGATCTATATTACAAACCTTTTTTTTTAACAGGACAGTGTGGATAGGCAATTTACACAAAGAGAAAGACAAACAGGCACTACGTATATAAAAAGACACCAGCCTCACTAGTGTCTGCACTAAGGGCCGTGCAGAAGAGGGAAGGCAGAGAAAAGCACAAACCCTTGCACTTGAACCCTTGCAGATTTGCAAAGTAGCAATGGAGGAAAAGTTCAGTGTGCCAGCAGGAGGCATTCACCGAGGATGTCTCCCACCAAAACTTGAATCCTGACCTAAGGGGTCTCTTTGATTCATCACAAGTTGTGCCTCAGAATTTCTGGAACTTTGACAGAAGTACAAGCTCTTTGATGTTTCCATCTGCCTCATAACTACCATCACACTTTGTTTTCCTTTTTGGAGCACACATTCCGCAGTGAGTCTAGTGTGTAATTATTCTTGAAAACTTACCCACATGTAAATCAGGCCACAACGTTTTTTTCATGCAAAAAGCACCTAATCCTTCTTCCCAGGGTTGCAACACGAAACCTAGTCAACGTCTTAGAAACCACAGAGCCAGGCTTGCCCACAAAAACACCACTCCCAGGGGCACAGGCGTGATGAGCCCTGGTGGAGGAGGCTTAGCCATGTGAGACATTAAGAGCAAAGCATATGAGGCAGAATTAATAGTTAACAATTAAGAGAACATCGGGGGACATGGGCCAGGCCCAGGGAAGACAGGACAGTTATATCAGTTCTCCCGGCACATGTGACACGGCATCTGAGGGCACGACAACCTGTCCTAGAGACCAGCCCTCACCCTCAGGAAGTACTGCGTTTAGCCATCCTATTTGGGTTTTTTTTGGTTTTTTTTTTTTTTTTTTGCAGTACGCTGGCCTCTCACTGTTGGGGCCTCTCCCGCTGCGGAACACAGGCTCCAGACGCGCAGGCTCAGCGGCCATGGCTCACGGGCCCAGCCGCTCCGCGGCATGTGGGATCCTCCCGGACTGGGGCACGAACCCGTGTCCCCTGCGTCGGCAGGCGGACTCTCAATCACTGCGCCAGCAGGGAAGCCCAGCCATCCTATTTGTTTTTAATTGTAGTCAACACATAACGTAAAATTTACCATCTTAACCATTTCACGTGTATTGTTCAGTAGCATTAAGTACATTCACCATGTTGTGCGAACGTCTCACTAACCCTCCACGGAACTCTTGTCATCATCCCAACTGAAACTCCATACCCATTAAGCAACAAACCCCATATCCCCTCTTCCCAGCCCCCGTCAGCCACCATTCTACTTTCTGTCTCTATGAAATTGACTGCTCTAAGTATCTCTTATATAAGCAGAATCATACAGTGTTTGTCCTTTCATGATTGGCTTGTTTCACTTAGCATAATGTCCTCAAGGCTCATCCATGTTACAGCGTGTGTCAGAATTTCCTTGCTTTTCAAGACTGAATACTATTCCATTCTATGTACAGACCACATTTTGTTTATCCATTCATCCGTCCATGGGCCCTTGGGTTGCTTCCATCTTTTGGCTTTTGCAAAAATCATCCTATGCCTTTTTTAAAGGCATCCAAAAGATGGCACAGTAACTCACTGCAAAGCCTTGCAGTGAGCTTTATTTTCCCCAAATGAGTCTCGTGTCTAACCTAAATCCTTTGTGCTACATCTTAAGGTCATCTCTCCCTCGTGCTCACTGAAGACTCCGCCTCTGCTCCACCACTTACAAGTTTTAGGACTTTTAGCAATGCCCTTCACCCTTCACCTTTCTACACCTCATTTTCTCATTGGTAAAGGGGGGAATCTCTGCAGGGCTTTGGGGAAAACTAAAGGAGCTAATGCACAGAGAGCAGTGGGCCCTGAGCCTGACACATGGTAAGAGTGCAATGCTGGTATCACTCTGAAATAAGCATGCTTTGTAGATTTAGGAATTGTCCATTTTCTCAGCTTTTTTTAATTCCTTGAGATGACGCATGTTTCCTAATCAAGTCCCCTTGTGTCCACTCAGTCAGCTCACGTACAGAGATGCCCACTGAGCTATCCACACATCCTTCTGCAGAATGGCTCAGGGCTGAGAATCAGGGCCGTGCTACGAGACCCAGTCTGGGGAAGGATCACTTAAGCCCCCTGGGAGTTAGGTTCTAGACTCCCATTCCTGGGAAAAAAGGGTCTCCAAATTCAGCAGCCGCTCCTCCAATAGGGAAAGGTTGCCACTTAAGAAAGGGTTAGAACCAAAGTCCACACTCCCAGGCACTCCCTGCCATGGGAGATCAAACCCACTGGCTTCAACAAAACTAATCATCTTAGAAGACTTTTTTTTAAAAGAAAGTCAGGCATACCATATATAAAACTACAATAAAAAGTCTTTGGTTAACAGAGGGGCTAAAAAAGAATCCCTAATGAGTGGTGTGGTTTCTTTTACTATCTGAGGAAGATTAAGATGACAAACATCACAAATGGACACGAAACAGTCACAGCCTCTGACTTTCCTGTCACTAATTCTCAGAATTCTAAAATGAAATAACAATCATCGTAATACACCATGGTTTTGCAGACTGCGATCTACCGAATTGCAAAAGGGGTTTCACCCAACGTTAATCCCTCAATGACTTTTCGTTTTTCATAATTGATGGTATTTCCTCCTTTTGCAAAGAGCGGCCGTGACACAGCAACTGTGACCCACGGAGGAACCTTGATTTTCTATGAAGACGGAGTGTTAGCCCCACCAGATCGCTGTCTTTCCACAGGACTTTGCTAAAGTCTCCAAAGAAAATTCCTCGTTTTATTTTAAAGAAGGAAATCTGCAATTTCGTGAAATGTAGGCTGTCCTTGGAATGAAGAACTTTCAGTTCAGCAAATAACAGATAAGGAAAGAGTTCCTAAAAGGGTACTTCCCCTCCCAAACTGCCCCCCTCCCCGCTATCCAAAAGCGGAGCGTCCCTAGGAAGTCTTTCTTAAGCAGAAGTAGCATAAAGCAAATAATCAATTACCTTAGGACCCATCTTGCTAACAGACGCTTAAAATAAATCGATATCAAGCACAGAGGCTGGCAGACACAGTTCAGAGCTATGGCGGCTTGGTGCTGAGATGCTGAGTGTAGTTCCAGGCGAAGGCACTTGGTGGTGCCACTTTAGCTGCTGGGGTGCGCGCTGCCTCTAATGGCTCAAAGCAAAACACAGGCTGATCACTACTTCAACTTTCTGCCTTTTTCCAAAAAAGTAAAAACCCTCTTGGGATTTCTTTCGATGAGCAAAAACAGGTACTAATGTAGGTCTTTTGTAAAAGTGGAATGGCATAAGTGGAACTTTTGAAAAGTAGGGGATGCTTGTAATGGTTTTTCCATGAGGCCCATGCTGGCAACTTCTGCTGGGAACCACGGGGGCGTCAGAAGAGATGACTTTTGGGCTTAGATTCTTCCTGTGATTGCTGAAGTGAAGAGCGAAATCACAATCTGACTTGTTATCCAAACTCCTCTAGGCCAAGAAGAGAGGAAGAAATGGGTATTAAATATTTACCAAGTCTCAGTGGCTGCAGCAATGCCAACCATTAACATGTATCGAGTTGGGTACTCTGCTGTGCCTGTTACGTGTACCGTCTCATTTATTATTCGCACCATTAAGTCCCCAATATGTAGATGGAGAAACAGAGCCTGAGACAAGATTCTGTCCCAAGATGCCTCAGTTAGTGGACCATGAGGTCCAGATTTGGAGCCAGGAGCCAGAGCTTTCATTCACGTCCACTGCTGTCATTGGTACAGGTGAGGAATCTTTGTCATTGACTTTCTGAGGAGTCCATCAGAGGTCGCCCATCTGGAGCAGATGGAGACAAGGTTGAAAACCACAACATCTTTTCCTCAAATAAAACAGGTTTAAGGAAGGTTAAGTTCCCACAGTGTAGGTAAAGGCTGCCACAGAAAGGACTTTGTACTTGAAAAGTAAGTAAATGAAGATCTAAATAGACATTTCTCCAAAGAAGACATACAGATGTCCCAAAAGCACATGAAAAGATGCTCACCATCGCTAATTAGAGAAATGCAAATCAAAACTACAATGAGGTACCACCTCACTTTGGTCAGAATGGCCATCATTAAAATGTCTACAAATAATAAATGCTGGAAAGGGTGTAGAGAAAAGGGAACCATCCCACACTGCTGGTGGGAATGTAAGTTGGTGCAGCCACTATGGAGAACAGTATGGGGGTTCTTTAAAAAACTAAAAATAGAGCTACCATAGGATCCAGCAATCCCACTCCTGCGCATATATCTGTAGAAAATCATACTTTGAAAAGATACATGCACCCCATTTTTCATTGCAGCACTATTTATGATACCCAAGACATGGAATCAACCTAAGTGTCCATCAACAGATGAATGGATAAAGAAGATGTGGTATATATATATATATATATATACAATGGAATATTACTCAGCCATAGAAAGGATGAAATAATGCCATTTGCAGCAACATGGATGGACCTAGAAAGTATCATACTAAGTTAAGTAAGCCAGACAGAGAAAGACAAATATCGTATGATATCATTTATACATGGAATCTTAAAAAAAAGGATACAAATGAACTTATTTACAAAACAGAAAGAGACCCACAGACTTAGAAAACAAATTTATGGTTACCAAAGGGGAAAGGTGGGGGGAGGGATAAATTGGGAGGTTGGGATTAATACAGACACACTACTATATATCAAATAAACAACAAGGACCTACTATATAGCATAGGGAACTCTACTCAATATTCTGTAATAACCTATACAGGAAAAGTAAGCAATGGACAGTGACGGGTTCCCCTTGCAGTAGGCTGAACATATGAGGCACTCAGGGTCTCACAGGCTTTCAGTGGACTGGAACAAAGAAAATACAAGAAGTCAAAAGTAGAACTGCTGCTGCTGAGAGCTATGGATAAGGGGCTGAGTGAGCTCTGCTGGGTGAGATTTCAAGAACTCAAGCAAGCACCAAATCACACCTGCACACAACACTCTCCCGAACAAAGAGATCTTCCTCTTGCATGGGAAATTATTTGCCTTCTGAGTCTGAGAGATGAGGCATCTAGACCAGGAATGCAGAGCACAGGGACATGGGAAGGGGTGTAATTGAAGGAGGAAGCTGAGCCAATGTCCTTCCTCCCTTTCCCCATAAGTTAGTAGCTAACATGCAAGGAAGAGCTTTGAAGGCATCTGGTTCCCTTCCTTCTAAAAAACAATCTCTTGGGATTCCCTGGCGGTGCAGTGGTTAAGAATCCTCCTGCCAATGCAGGGGACACAAGTTTGAGCCCTGGTCCAGGAAGATCCCACATGCCGCGGAGCAACTAAGCCTGTGCGCCACAGCTGCTGAGCTTGCGCTCTAGAGCCTGCGAACCACAACTACTGAGCCCATGTGCCACAGCTACTGAAGCCCGCACGCCTAGAGCCCGCGCACTGCAGCAAAGAGCAGCCCCCACTCACCGCAACTAGAGAAAGCCCATGCACAGCAACGGAGACCCAATGCAGCCAAAAATTAATTAATTAATTAATTTTAAAAAAAGATCTCTTTCCCACCACTACATATAAAAACCACATCTTGAGGAGAGAAAGAAGTTTCCACCTAATAAGATTATGCCACGGAGCTCCTTCTGTCCCAGGAAAAAAATATAGGAACATAATTCTTTTATTCATGACTCGCTGAGTTCCCACCATGTGTCAGATATTATACCAGGCACTTGGGAGTTGAGCACAGGTGAAGAAGGCAGCACACAGGAAGCTGCATGACTGGACAGCTGGGCAGGAAGGCAAAGACATTGACCCGGAGCTGTGGGAGCACAGGAAACGTCTGATCTGGGGTGGAGCAGGACAACCAGTGTCAATGCCTTACTCCCAGATGTGAGGAAATAGGGCAGAAAAACTTACAAATTATTCAAGTCTGTTCTGTCTGGAATCCTTGAGGTGAGATGAGAAGCCACCAAGGCAGTTGACTTCAGAGCTCTGTGCACAGAGATACTTTGTTGCCAGGCGTTTCATAGACCAGCAGAGTTAGAAGAGGACCCTAAGATGTTCCACGCCAATGCCCTCCTGTTACGAGTGAAGAAAGTGACCTAAAGAAAGTGGCCCCAAGAGAGTTTCAGGGACCTGTTCAAGAAAACTAGATAACTGTCTGATCAAAAGCTGAAGCCCACTTTTCTTCAATTTGGCCTGATCATCAATTTGCTCTGATTCATCCATCCATCCACCATCTGCCCATTCATTCATTCATTCATTCAAAGATTTGCTAAAACATTTCATTGACATATTTACAGAGTGCTAATTATATGCCAAGAACTGGCCTTGGCCCATCATCTCTCTAGGACAAAAGAATCTAAGATTCACACGAAAATGAACTTCATTATGGCTATTTCAAATTTATTAATATTAGAAGTGTTGTAATTGCTGTGTCATTCAGTATGTCCCCGCTTCAATCTCAGTCTAACCACCTACTGGTGAAAGACTTCCAGGCATGTGGAGTATTGACAGCATCTTCTATGGTATACTATAGTAAAACTACAGAAAACCAAAAACTCAAAAAAAGAAGAATCCTGAAAGCAGCCAGAGTGGGGAAGACATATGACCTTCAAAGGAGCAGCAGTGAGACTTACAGTTAACAAAAACACCTTACAGTTAATTAAAAACAGAAAACTTACTGTTAATAAAACAGCTTACAGTTGATCAACAGCAATGCTGAAAGAAAAAAAGAAAACTTACCACTGAGAATTCTACACCCAGTGAAATATCTTTTCAAAATTGAAGGCACAATAAATGCACTTTCAGACCTCAAGTCCCTCCAACAATAACCTGAGAGTATTCATCAGAAGAAAACCCACACTGAATGAAATACTCTTTAGCAAAAGGAAAATGTTCCCCCCCCCACCAGAAAAGAAAAGAAAACCACAAAACCAAAGAAAAGCAAGGAAAAAGGCATACATGTGGGTAAATGTAAACAAATACTAATTGTACAAAACAATAATGATGTCTTACGGAAACTAAAATATATGTAGGATTAAAATTCATGATTACTACAACGGCACAAAAGGCATGAGAGGAGTAAACAAAGTTAAACTGTTTCAAGGTAATAATATTGTCTGAGAAATGATGAAAAAAATATTTATTTATATTCAAGTATAAAAGGCCAAGAATATAAAAATAACTATCTAATGGAAAAGGGGAAATCGGACAATAAAAATATTTTATTAATACAAAAGTAAGCAATTAGGGAGAGAAAAAGAAACATAAAACAAATTACAAATAGAAAACAAATTATAAGATGGACATAATTATATAAAATGGAAATAAAACAAATGTTCCAATTAAAAGACTGATGTGACATCAGCAAAAGTGGAGGAGTAAAGACCTCCAAAAGTTTGCCTCTCCAGAAAAGCAATATAAAAACTGGCAAAATTTCTCAAAATCAACTTTTTCAGAACTCTGGAAATTAATCAAAGGCTTGCAGCAGTCCAGGGAAATAAAAATCAACTAAATCTCAGGAAGAAAAGAAATAAAATGTATCTAATTGGAAAAGAAGTAAAACTGTATCTATAGTCATATATATATATATATATATATATATACACACACATATATGGATATAGATATATATGATTATACATATAATCCTAAAGAATCCACAACAACAAAATCTATTAAAACTAATAAACAAGCTCAGCAAGGTTACGGGATACACAATCCATATTCAAAAATCAGTGGTATTTCAGGGGAGTGGCCAAGATGGTAGAGTAGGAAGACCCTGAGCTCACCTCCTCCCGTGGGCACACCAAAATTACAACTATTTACAGAGCAACTATTGATGAGAACGACTTGAAGAATAGCAGAAAATATTTTCCACAACTAAAGGTATAAGGAAGGAAGCACAATGAGATGGGTAGGAGGAGTGAACACACAGTATAGTCAAGACTCAAACCCTTGGATAGCACACCCTTGGGTAAGTGACCCACAACTGGGAGGGTATCATAATTGCAGAGTTTCTTCCCAAAGAACAAGGGGTCTGAGTCCCACATCAGGCTCATCAGCCTCAGGGTCCTGCACCAGGAAGATGAGCCCCCAGATCATCTGGTTTGAAGGCCAGTGAGGCTTGCATATGGAGAGCCTGAGGGATGTAGGAAACAGAGCCTCTGCTCATACAGGGCACACAAAAAATTCACACATTCCAAGACCCAGCACGGAGGCAGTCATTTGAAAGGAACCTGGGTCAGACCTACTTGCTGATCTTGGAGAGCCTCCCAGAGACGCAGAAGGCAACTGAGACTCACCTTGGGGACCTAGATGCTGGTGGCAGCCATTTGGGGAGCTCGTTCTACCACAAAGACACTGGTGCTGGCCAGTGCCACCTTGGATTCCTTCCTCTAGTCTATTAAGGTCATGGGCTTACCTGCCCACCAGCCAGTTGGCACAAGTCCCAGAACCCTCAGGCCAAGCAGCCAGCTGAACAAGGACCCGGCGTCTCCCACAAGCAGACCCAGGACCCAGCCCACCCACCAGTGGACTGACACAAGCCCCGAGATCCCACAGGCCCTGGCCCTACCTACCAGCAGCCCAGTACCAGCCCCAGAACCCCTGGCCCCACATCCAGCAGCCCTGGGATCTGGTCCCCCCCACCACCAACAAGCTGGCACCATCTCCAGGGCCCTGAGCCCCACAGCAGCCACACGAGTGAGTTGATACCCACCCACAAGTGGGATGATACTAGCCCCAGACACCCCAGCATCTGCAGCCAGCCACCGCAGGACCAGCCCCACCCACACACTGGTCGGCACCAGCTCTGGGACCCC